AAAAATCTAATTGCAACTGTTTATCTCATAATTCTGACTTTTCTTGCAATTCTGAGTTTATATCTCATAATTCTGACTTTTTTTCTCAGAATTGCTAGATATAAGCTTGTAAATGCAAATGCAAAAAAAAAAACAGTCAGTTCACATTTACCTTTTAAATTTTTTATTACTTGGTGAAAAAAAAAAAAAAAAACAGAATTACTAGATGTAAACAGAATTCAGAGAAAAAAAGTCAGAACTGCGAGATGCAAACCCACAATTGCTCATTTATAATTCGCAAATCTGGAGGAAAAAAATTTGGCGTTGCAAACAAGCTTCCATATGTATTCCAGCAAGGAATTTATACTATTACGATACCTAATTTTGGCCAAATTCTAAAGGCATGTTCACACTGGCAGCCATATGCAGTGTCAAAGCCACGGGACATCATTCATTTTCAGTGAGCGATAACAATTTCAGGTGACAATTTGTTAGTGAAGCGACAAAGTTGAATGGGGTATCAGCAGTAATAAGAAGCTTCAACTACCAATGGGAGTGCAGATGGAATCAACGCCTCATACAGTTGGATACCGCTGAAGAGTAGGAATGCCAACTTGAAACCAAGAATGCAGTGACTCATTGTGAATGCACCATAAAAGAGCATCAATGTGATTTGTCAGTGGAAGTCTGCAGTAGTAAGTGTATGCTTAATATATTGTTTCTATCGTTTAGAGTATTGCGCATTGCTAAATTACAGTAGTTGTGTTGATCTGTATTAATTGAACTGGTACTGTAGGGCAGCAGCAGTTTTTTGTCAGCCTTCAAAGTTATATGCTTGGTATTGTTAAACCAAAAGGCGTTAGCTGATTTTGCTTAATTACTGGTAAGCCATCCTTGTTTAAAGACCTAACTTATGTAATGATCTGTACCTGCCAGCCTTCAAAGTTATATGCTTTGTATTGTTAAACCAAAAGCGTTAGCTGATTTTGCTTAATTACTGGTAAGCCATCCTTGTTTAAAGACCTAACTTATGTAATGATCTGTACCTGTGCAGTCCAGTGAACAAAGACTCCAGAAAGGCACTTATTTCTACATGTTTATGTGTTGCTTGTTGTTCACCACACATACAAACCCTCTTTAGATGCAAAATACACTGCAGTCCGACAAATCTATAAGCTCTTTGGCACTTTCTCATCGACTCTAGAACTGCAAGTCAGGAGTAAACAAATCAGAGACAGCTCTTAATAATCCCTTTGAATTCCATGCAATTCCTATTACAAAATTCCATTGTTTGTTATATATCATCCTCCAAGTCAGCTAGAAAACTTTTTAGAAGAGCTGGATTTGCTATGGATAACCTCCTTCCGTGAATATGGCAACCCAATTGTGGTACTTAATTATTTAAACATTCACCTGAATAAGCCGCAAGCTGTGGACTTCTAAGCTCTACTAGGCTTGTTTAACCCCAATATTTTACCAACTTACAAATCAGGAAACCAACTGGGCCTCATTTACACAAGTAACAGTTCCACAGACAATGTCCACAGACATTTGTGATTTCCACCTTGCCTGCTGCACACTCTTCGCTGGTTTTCTTCCAACATAACCTCCACTCCCTCATACTTGTTTCTATGCTCGCCCACCTCTGTTCACCCAGCTAAAAGCTCCGCCTCTCTTATGTAAATAACACATTTAAATCCACTTGAACATCTTGTCTAGACAGAATCTGTCCTCTCTCCTCCAGGCCTGTTTGTGCAGAATGCCCACTAACCCCCAAAGATCTGATGTTCTTCGTGAAGCCAAACTTGAGAGAGAAAATGGCACCAATCGAAGGTTCCTGGTGAAATTAGTAGCATAAGTCAGTTCAAAAGCAGACACTCAAAAGCTGCCTCTAGATTAGTTGTTCTCATTCTGCTGGATCTGTCTGCAAGTGTAAATCACCAGATCCTACTATTTATAAGGTATCTCTGAAGTGAGCAGCATCTAAATCACATCAACTATCCATGGGGGTTCCCCAGGGCTCAGTACTTTGCCCCTTACTCTTTTCAGTATACACAACAATCACTGGGACCTATCATCCAGATACATGGATTTGAGAATAAAGCATGGTGATATTAAGACCACCCATGCTGCACACCACACCACCTCCTGGTCTCTATTATTTTACCCAATATCTATTAGTTTAGCAACACATTAAAATCAAAATCTCTCATGTACTTTACATGAGAAGCACTATCTGTAGGGAGTTGATGTCTATACATTGTTCCAAATCAGTCATTTCTTTTTCGGTTAGGATATAGAAAAGTAAATACTAGACAACAGGGCAGCTCACTAGGTTTGGAAACAGACTTGCAGACTTGTTAATAACTGAGTATTTGCGTTCAGTTTCTGAGTGAATGCTTGGTAATAATATTCTCACCTGCCTCTGAAGAATGCCAGGTACACAATAGGGGTAAATGCATTTGCAAACTTCAATATGAACGTCTTGAAGATCAGCCTCTCCTCAAAACTCTTGTCAGTTTTTGGCACCTCTGATGGGTTGAAAACAACAGCAAGTTCTGTAAACATAATGTTTTGCAACACAGCTGACAAACTAAATGTCTTGAGAACAATAACCAGAAGTACCCATAATAGTGAGCCAACGTGCAATTGCTCCATAGACCTCATCCATTATGATGATGATAATGAGGTTGATGATAGCAGCAGTGGTTTTAACGGTGGCCCGTATATTAGTGCGGAACGTGGGAGTGGAACTCATGTGCAGGGCAGTCATAATGGAGACCCTGTATAGCACCACACCAAACACGATGGCCAAGGTCACAAAGATCTGCGTTGAGCACACAAACACACACAATAAGAAAAGTGACTCTAATTATTATCAAATAATTTACTGACACAAATTGGATACAGCATCACGCAAAAGACAACATTATTGATTACCAATGCAATTATAGAAAGCCAGATGTAAGTCACCATGACTACTTTATTATGCAACTGAAAATGTCTGATAATAGAGGGCTTAATGAGATCAAGTGAGCAGTATTTGTCTGCTCTTGTGATTTCGACATGATGGCCATCCATATATAAAATAAATTGACTGGTTGTTGAAAATAAAGTATATTTAACTACTAAATAAACGTTCTGAGAGTTAAATTCCTTTTATTTGTTATATTAAAAACCTATGTACATTACAGCATTATAATGGGAAAAAAAATGGAATAAATCAAGTCTTACCAAAAAAACCATCATGACGATAATAGTCATGTAAGCTGGCATTCTGTCTTTACATGTCAGCTTCACATTTCCTGCCTAGAAAAATATATGAATTGTCAAATGTGAGATCAGAACATATAATCCAGACACACCCTAACACATACATCTTGCAATAGGAACTTGGTCGAAAATCAGATGTGTAGATTCCAGCATGCTTTGGCCTCAGAAGGGACATAGAGGGTCAAGCCGAACAGAGCAAAAACAAGCCTCTAGACATGCCTCACAGCTGTGCTGTCATTCAGTATACTGCAACTGGGTCAACATCTACTGAGCGTAATACGTAATACCCAATAATCCAGACATCCTTATGACAGCAAGGATGGCATGCATAAGTCAATAGACAAAAATATTGCTAGAATCAGCATTGCCTGTGTTGTGCCAGACACTACAAATAAAGCCAAAATTATTTATCAGCATATGGTCTGATCCACATTGTAGATTATTCTATCCAAGAACAACCCACTTGGACATGAAGGGGCCCACTAATCAACATTTTAAATGACAAACAACAGTTTGCTATTTCATGTGGCAGTACTGGCAGTCAAAAGTTTGGAATAATTAAGTTTTTTTGTTTGTTTCTCATATGCTCACCAAGGCTGCATTTATTTGATGGAAAATACAGTACACACAGTAATATTGTGAAACATTATTACAATTTAAAATTGTTCAATTTCAAAATAAAATTTATTCCTGTGATGGCACAACTGATTTTCAGCAGTCATTACTCCAGTCTTTAGTGTCACATAATCCTTCAGAAATCATTCTAATATGGTGATTCGGTATAAGAAACATTTCTTAATATTATCAATGTTGAAAACTGTTTTTGCTGCTTAATATTTTTGTAGAAACCATGATACACTATTATTTAAATAGTTTAGGGTAAGATAAAAAAAAAAAAATACAGAGCAAGAAATCAATACTTTTATTTAGCAATGATGCATTAATTTCAACAAAAGTGACAGAAAAGACATTTAAAATGTTACAAAAAAAAATTTCTTTCAAATAAATGCTGTTTTACTTTCTATTCATCAAAGAATCCTTAAAAAAAATGCATCACGGTTTCCACAAAAATATTAAGCAGCAAAAAAAAAAATTAAACACTGATAATACGAACAAAGATTTTCAACATAAGAACCAAAGTCAGCACCAAATCAGCATATTACATTGATTTATGAAGGATCATGTGACACAGTGAAGACTGGAGTAATGGCTGATGAAAATTCATTACATTTTAAAATATATTAAAATATAATACAATATAATATACAGGTAATTTAACTACAAAATCAAACCACACTGAAATATATTACTTTAAATCCTGAGATAACAATGTAGGGTAAAAATGTCTTCGCATCTTAAATGTGTTTTTAATACATAACTGTGCTCGCTGACTTCCAGAAATTGTGTAAATCCAATTGGCAATTCTGTTTGCAATATGTAGCAGATGGTCAGCGAATGGTGAGTTTGATTTGTTTTATCTGAAGCTTGGATTCATAAAGACCTACCTTTGGGGATTGCTCTTTCTTTAAGGACTTCTTCATGACATGGAACTCATACTCTGCTCTCGGATGACTCTGGGAAAAACAGAGAAAGCTATTCCCAACATATACAGGACTTAAACCAGTTTAAAAGTGAAAAACAGTGGAAAAAGATAACTGGTTATGGAGCCAAAAGCAGCCATGTGCATGATCAGTGAACAGAACAGAACAGAAATTCTGGTAATAGCAACACAGTGACAATCAGTGAAAGTATAATCCTTAAAACCAAAAGCTCTCAGCACCACAAATACATATTCCTTTCCACATTCAGCAGCTTTAGGATTTATTAGTTCCTCCTGCTTATTTTATCCACATAAACAGTGGCAAGCCTGGAAAGACTGTGACTGCCGAAAGGAAAGTGAGCAGCTTTTGACCTGTAAGGCCGGAGGAAGAGAGAATAGGAATCTCCCAGACCTCCACAGCAACAGACCGATAGATAGATAAGTGCTGGTGGAATACTTTACACAAGCAAGAATGTCACGACGATGCTTGAAGACGACTTTTAAGATAATATGAAGAATATGTTAGTACTAAAATGCAACTGTAAGGTTAGGAAGGAAATCAATTCAGTTAATACTGTGAATGAACCAATTCCAAACCTTTTGTTTCCCCTATACAAAACAGGACAAAAAAAAACAAACAGTGAAAAAACAGTTTGATTTCATGGCACTGAATCAATAAAAAAATCTTCAATTCTTTACACCCAAGCCTCAGGATAATACAAGTTTATACAAGAAAACAATGGAGCAGGCCTACAGAACATACATAAACCCACATAATTATCTTATCAACATCAAATGTCTTATATTGACAATTTCCTTGGTCAACATGGGTGAGCGTGACTAACCTCAGCGTCTTCAAAGCTGGTCAGGTCCCAGATGTAATTGAGCCTCATTTGCCTTCTCTTCCAGTGCTCCATAAACATGGTGGCTGTGTGACACAGAGCAGTAACCTTCACTAAAAAAACTCACATTTATAAATACTGATCTAGGCTAGGTGCCGATCAGGGTGGTTTCTCAGTTAATATAGCTACAACTGAAGCCTGTACTTTCTAAAAGGCTTTTTTTCTTATCAAGAATATTGCCAATATTATTTCATTCATTTACAGGGTTGGTAACTTTGGAAATCACTAATACATCGATGTTTTTCTAAAGAACCATGGAAGATTATCCTATAGCAACAGGCTGTAAAACTTCTTTAGGAACCTATTTTAATGGTTTTTGTTTTAAGTGTTTGAGTCCTTTTCACAATTTTAGCTTATGAGTGAACCCCTTTAAAGAGAACTAAACTGAAACCATCTAATGAAGTGTTCTGAACACAGTTCATTTTATGTCAGTGTGAATGGAAAGTGGATTGAGAACCGATTATAACCAAAGTGAACCAAAAAAAGACCTGACTCCAGTTTCAAGGTCAGTAGTGTGACTGCAAAAAGAACTATTTTTCTATATTCATTTATTAATTTCCATAGATGGTAACTTTGGAAATCACTAATACATAAATGCTTTTCTGAAGAACCATGGAAGGTTCTCCTACAGCATAAGGCTGTAAAACATTTTGGGAACTTGTATTTTAAAGGTGTTTTCACAGTTTGTTTTGTGTTTAAGTCCGGTTCACAATTTCAGCTTATGTGTGAATGCTCACAACAACCTCAGACCCCTTTAAAAGAGAACTAATCTGAAACCATCTGAGCAAGTGTTCTGAATACAGTTCACTTCAGGACAGTGTGAATGTAAAAGTAGATTGAGAACCGATCACAACCAAAGTGAACCAGAAAAAAGAGTCCACTTTTAAGGTCAAAAGTATGACTGCAAAAATAACTATTTGTTAATATTCTTTCATTCACTTCCATAGTTGGTAACTTTGGAAATCACTAATTCATAAATGTTTTTCTAAAGAACCATGGAAGGTTCTCCAATAGCATTAGGCTGTAAAACCTTTTTGTGGACCTGTATTTTAATGGTGTTTTCAGACTTGGTTCGTTTTAACGGTATGAGTCCGGTTCACAGTTTTAGCTTATATGTGAACACTCACAACAACCTCAGACTACTTTAAAGAGAACTCAACTGAAATAATCTAAGGAAGTGTTCTGAACACAGTTCACTTTAGGTCAGTGTGAATGGAAAGTGGATTGAGAACCGATCACAACCAAAGTGAAACAAAAAGAGATCTGAGCCCACTTTTCAAGGTCAACAGTATGAATGCAAAAATAATAATTTTTCAATATTATTTCATTCATTTCAATAGCTAGTAACTTTAGAAATTACTAGGTTATCCTATAGCATTGGGATGTAAAACCTGGGAACCTGTATTTTCACATGTTTTATTATGGGTTTTCACATTCGGTTTGTTTTAATTGTTTGAGTTCAGTTCACAATTTTATCTTATGTGTGAATACTCCCAACCACCTCAGACCTCTTTAAAGAGAACTAACACAGTTCACTTTAGGTTAGTGTGAATGGAAAGTGGATTGAGATGCCAATCAAAACTAAAGTGAACAAAAAGGAGATCTGAGACCACTTTCAGAGCCAGCGGCTGTATGAATGCAAAAAGAACTTGGTTCTCCTTCCACTCTATAAACTTTCTGGTTCAATTAAAAAGGTTTGTCTTTGGATCTTTTAAAGAGGCAACCAGGTTTTTCTATAGCATCAGTTTCACACTTGGTTCGAGTTGATTTGGCTCCCAACGACATCAGTCCCCTTTAAAGAGAACTAAACAGAAACCATCTGAGGAAATGGTATAAGAACAGTTCACTTTAGGTCAATGTAAACGGAAAATGGTATGAGACACCAATCACAACCAAAGTAAGCTAAAAAGAAAGCTGAGTCTATTTTCAAGCACAGCAGTATGAAAGCAAGAATAACCGGGTTCTCTTTCCACACAATTCACTTTCTGGTTCACTTTCTTAAAAAGGTTTGGCTTTGGGTTCTTTTAAAATAGGACTCAGATTAGCAAGTAGCTTTGTCATAGAGTGTAATTTTTTTTGTAACTGTAGGGGATTAAAACAGGAAAGGCAAATTTAGGGCTTTAGCTAAAATAATCAGCTTTTTAAAAAGCTCAGCATTTGAGCGGGGATGAGTATGTGGGGAATTAAAACAGAAGTGTACAACCAGGGCACAAATCTCTTCAACATTTGTCAGATCAAGTCTGCCCTCAATATTTACAGACACAACAGTTGGTGTACAGCAGCAACAAAGCGTGCGGGTGAACATGAAAGGAGAACAGAGCTGCTGACCCCATAGTGCCATAAAGATGGCGAAGAAGACGGTGGCCGCATTGTCGAACAGGTGGCTGGCCCTAGCCGTGCCGCAAGCCGTGACCAGTTTCCAGTAGCTGCAGGCTCGGTCACACATTGGGCACATGGTGATATTGTTTCTCTCGTCGCAGACTTCCATACTGAGTATACAAAGAACAAATCCTGATTTTAGAAATACATCACATCTCTATATTTCCCTAGATACCATAATGTTTCTCAGTAAAGCTATTAAGACCGCAAAGTATTTTTTTTCCTCACATTTTTTTTTAGCTTTTATTAATCTGAAAGAAAATGCATTTATTCTATTTTCAGCTCTTGTTCCAAAACATAGTTGCTTTGATGTCTAAATAGATGTGGCTAATATGAAATGTTCTATAAAGGCAGCAACTGTATGCACAAATAGTGATCTTCACATGAAATGCATAAGAAACTGTGCACTCATGCTTTAGCATGTTGCTATGCTAAGTACTACTGTTTGTAATAAGAAAATGTCAAAATAAATTACAAATAAAACACTGAAAACTAAAATCAATAATTTTAAATTGTGGCAGCTTAACATTGTATTTGATTAAAATTTCACAGCGTTATTTAATTATAACCCCTGCGGGTTTGTGAGGGAATTGCAGGGAGTTAATAATTAAATCAAATGTAAGATTAAAATAAATTAATGGCTGTTATTATCAAATTAAAGGCTGCAATTTAATTAAATAAGCAAATAGTCTGTTGTACTGCCTGTTTCAGACTGAAAAGCGGCATTGTGTAACAGATTACAGTTTTTGTTTTATAGCATCAAAACACCTCGGTTAACAGTAAATTCTGCTTCGCACAAACTCCGTCTCTGTATGTGCAGTGAGTTTAATGTGCGTTTTTTGTTTGTTTGTTTGTTTCAATTTCCATTTCTGTGGACAGAAGTTTACAGCAATTCGCTGGTATTCTGCAAAGATTGAAGCTTTCAGTGTAACTTGCGGTGTAAAGGCAGCATAATTATGCTGACTACTCTTTGAACCATACTTCATATCAGTGGTGTTCCTATAATGCTTAATTTTTTTTCCTAGATAGGCAACGCACTAGGTTTTGGAACAGCTTGTTTTCAGCAGTGGCATCTGTGGAATTAATGAATGTCGTTGTGAGATGGCCAGCGAACACTGAGTCACTCTCATTAAACACTACATTACAGTTCATTACAGTCACACCATTTCAAACCCACTCTAAACTCTCTAATACCACGCACTTCAACATCCATCCGTTTTTCTTGCAAAGTTCAGCGGTGATTACTTTCATAAATGGCCAGGCATGTTCTTCGCTAAAAATCTTTCCACAAAGTTCAAAGCAATTGCGGAAGAGAATGTATTGCTGTCAGGAAACGCTGCTGAAACTTGTTTCTTAGGGGTGTGAGACAGTGGAATGTGTTTGATCTCAGTGGCACAGATAAGAATGTGTCAATCAAAATTATTTGACAAACTAATTCTACATAATTAAATACAGTAATAGGCTGATAATTTATGTACATAACTGTCAACAGTTTAGGAAGGGGTCACATGCAAGTTAGCACTCTTTGTACAAAAACAATGCAAATAAACCAATGACATAAATTTTATAAGGTGACCTGGGGATGTTGTCTTCCACAGTGGCACAGCCGTACAGGAACACGATAACTCCCACAATTGCTGCTGGGATTAGCATCTGAGTATACACACCCAACCAGGCAAAATACAGGCCCACTTTCTCACCAAAATACTTCCTAAGAGAGATAAAGAAGTTTCAAGCAGAGCAATAAAGGCAATGAAGTCAAGCAAAAGAATTGACAATTACTATCTAGCAAACATCAGGAAGAATGCATCCTCTTCTGTAGCCCGAATGTTAATGAACTGTCAGTCTTTTCAATGTGAAATGAAAGATTATGTAAACAAAAAATTCTAAAATTCTAAAAATGTCATGTTATGTAATGAAATAAGTATAAAATAAGTAAAAAGAAGATATTTTAATTGTCCTCCCGCAGGATCCTCTTCATTACATTGTTCTCGTTTTTCCATTTATTTATTTAGTTTTTTGTGCTTGTTGGTTGCATTACATGACTTTAAATATTATTAGTCATCAGTGTAGCAGTTTTGTCTAAATAAAATTTTTCCCTAAAAATAAATTAATTAAAAACGAATAATTTTGCCAGACTTTTGTATTACTTTGACATTTTTTATATTACTTTTGCTCATCATAGAAGAGTGCTATATGTATGATTTGCATTTGTAATGTATTTTTAGACTTAATTTTAACTTAATAGATCCAGACAAAAAAATGAGTGTCAGGTTCATTGACATCTTAAAGGTCATCATGATAATGGCAGTACAATAATCCAGTAAACCAGTGTTATTTTAGTATTACTGATATACAATTATAGTTTTTGCTAATATTTGGAATTCAATCTTTATTTGTTTGTTTCTTTTATTAGTTCTATTTTTATATGTTTGCACTTTAATTGTAGTTTAATGTTTTAATAATTTTGTTGTTTTTGTCATTTTAGCACTTTAAAGTAACTAAAATGAGAAATGTTGCCTTAGAAACCTAGCAGAATTTTTTGTTTTTGTTTTGTTTAATTCTTGTATATTTTATTTTATTTCAGTTTTCATTACTTAAAATAGACATCAGACATTTAATTATTTGTCAGATTTCAGACATCGCTCATCCTATGTGAACTAATGATAAATATTACATTGACAATCTGACTCCTGAATAATGTGTATCAGTAGGGTATTTCTAAAATCTCCCCTCTTGCTAGCCCATAATTCCAGGGCAAACATTTGTCTCAGTCTCTGGCAGTGCATTTATTGTCAGTATAATACCTGATCAGTCCAATGGGCTGGTACTTGTAGAATATGCTGTAACTCGCCCACTCTTCATACAAGATCTGCAAAGACAGAATTAAAATGACATACATCCTGGAACAGCGATTCAACATCCATTCATACAGTATGGCTGAAATGCACAGTGAGTGGGGTTTAATGGAAATGACAATGACTGATTATTCACCGATACTCTGATGAAAAGGACAAATGAAGCCTCTCTACGATCATGTTAGTAATTTCGAATGTAATGACTTCGGTTCGGTGCGCCTGGGGATGTAATGTACAACAGTAATATGAGTAAGTGAGGGTGGATATACACCATAGCTGCACGGAGATCTCCAGTCTCCAGAACATAGTGCATACTTAAGTCAAAGAAAAGAAGCTACTGTAGCTGCAGTGTTTTGTCCGAGAAAGCAAGGAAGGGAAGGCCAAAACATTATGAAATTTGACATCAAATAATACACAAACCTCTAATAACAACATTCAACAGTGAAACCAGTAGATAAAGTCTGAGAAGCTACGTTTTCAACATATCCACAAATCGCCTTGAATGGCTCAAACTAGTAGAAATAGATGGATTAATTGCCAAGTAAACAAGCAGTGATCACTCAGCTCAATTAAATAAATGGTACACCTCCACACCTGCAACCATCAGTATATTTGCGGATTGATTATACAGAGGATTTGCCTAATGGTTCTATAAATAATGGCTGAATGTCCTGCATAAGCGGGATAAGAAGGGAGCGGAGGCAAAAGTGGGGCAAGAGAGGTGGTCTACATGCCAAGCTACATGCTAACCCACATAGAACAGCCCTTCCAAGACTCTTTCTTACAAATTCCCGGTCAATCGTCAAAAAGATGGATGAGTTACGGTTGAGGATTATGTCGCGTGGTATGGATAGCCGTGTGATGATCGTCACGGAGACTTGGCTTAATAACAACGTCCCCCATGAGGCTATCGAACTGGAGGGCCGCTTCGTGTACCGAGCTGACAGGACTGCAGCCTCTGGTAAGAGTAAAGGCGGTGGAATGTGTAACTATGTTCGTAACAATTAGTGTATGCAACGAATGTTATTGGAACACACTGCTCCCTGGATTTGGAATATCTGGCAGTGAAATGCAGACCGTTCTACATGCCAAGAGAGTTTTATGCCTTTCTGATTACAGCTGTTTACATACCACCACTGGCTAATGTCAGGTCAGCACTGGAGAAGTTGCACAGCACTATTAATAGCCAGCTAAATGCACATCCAGAGGGAGTTGTGATTGTAGCTGCAGGAGACTTCAATCATGTAGAAATGAAAGCTGTGTTTCACAAATTCTTCAAGTGCATCAATTTCCTGACCAGGGACAATAATATTCTGGATTAGGTCTATACGAACATTCCAGGGGCATATAAAGCTGCAGCATCTCCGTATCTTGGCATGTCAGACCACATCTCGCTGGAAATGACACCGGCCTACAGACCTCTTATCTGCCGATCAACACCAACTTTCAAAAACCATACAAGTCTGGAGTCTGGAGGCTACTTCAGCACTGCTTTGAATGCACTGACTGGGGAGTGTTTAAAAGAGGATGCGGCTCACAAGGTGGCGAAGAGACGGTCCAGCTATCCCAGCCTGAAGAACAGTGGCAGTGGAATCTCGTCCTTCAGTGTCATTAGGTGAAAGCTGCACTGAGCAAAATCAATGTCACCAAGGCTGCGGGGCCGGACACTGAAATTATGTACAGACCAACTTGCAGGAGTATTTCAGGACATCTTTAACCTTTCACTGCAGCTCAGTGTTGTCCCTGTTTGCCTCATTATTGTACCTGTGCCTAAACGGTCAGCTGTTACCTGCCTCAATGACTATTGCCCAATGGCTCTGACCCCTGTTGTTATGAAATGTTTTGAGAGGCTTATTCTGCAGCACATTAAGAACATTACATCTCCTGAATTACACAGCTACCAGTTTGCCTACCGGGGAAATCGATCTACGGAGGACGCAGTCGTCATAGCACTCCACACAGCCCTTTCCCATGTGGAGATGTCAAAAACATATGTCAGGATGCTATTTGTTGACTTCAGCTCCACTTTTAATACTATAATCCCACACAAACTGGTACAGAAACTCTACAATTTAGGCCTGTCCACCTCACTGTGCTTATGAACAGGGGATAACACATCGTCTACCCTCGTTCTGAACACAGGCACTCCGCAGGGATGCGTGCTCAGGTCAGCTCTCTTCACACACTGCACCCCTATCCACGCCTCCAATACTATTGTGAAATTCGCCGACAATACCACTGTAGTGGGTCTCATATCGGACAATTATGAGATTCTCTACAGAAAGGAGATCCATCACCTGGCCCTGTGGTGTTCAGCAAACAACCTAGTTTTGAACACCAATAAACCAAGGAGGTTATTGTGGACTTCAGAAGGTCTGGAAGGACAGCACATGCACCACTGCTCATACAGGGGGTAGAAGTGGAGCGTGTCGAGAACATCAAGTTCCTGGGTATCCACATTACAGCAGACCTCACTTGGGCTCTGAACACCTCCCACCATGGTGAAGAAGGCTCAACAAAGACGTTTCTTCCTCAGGAAGTTGAAGCAGGCTGGACTCTCCTCTCGGTTGCTGATCAATTTCTATAGGAGTGCCATAGAAAGCATCCTATGCTATTGTGTGACTGTGTGGTATGCCAGCTGCACAACACAGGACAGGAAGGATTTGGCCCGGGTGGTTAAAACAGCACAGAGGATTTTTGGGAATCCACTTCCAGATCTGGACTTGGTGTATGCAGAACGCCTCCAGAAGAAGACCAAAAACATTGCCATAGACCCCACCCACCCGGGGTCATAGACTGTTTGGCCCCCTGCCCTCAGGGCGGAGATACAGGGCCATGATAACACACAAACAGACTGAGAAACAGCTTCTTTCCAAGAGCTGTGACCTCCATTACACCACCTGCCTATACACCCTCCAGCTAATGACATAATTTGCACTTTATTTTGCTGTAACTGCTGCTGTTTGTTATTTATTGTTGGTTGATTTAAGTTGTTGGTTCTTTTGTTTAGTTTGTAACTGAGACTCACCAGACACAATTTCGTTGTACAATAAAGTAAATTGATTGAACTGATTGATTGATTGATTGATTGATTGAACAACAGTAACAAATAAAATGTGTTTCTTACATATTTTTTTTAAAAATGCATAAACTTGATATGAATTGTATTTTAATAAATACTATAGTAGTATAAAATTCATTGAAGGCAGAGTAAGTGATTTCTGGTAGCTAATGTTGATATTTGAAATCACCAAAACAAACACGCCCCTACCCCAAAAGGGTCTTGCCCATTGTGATAGCTCCGCCCCACATATACGTACGCAACCCAGGCAACGATTAGTTCTGTGAAACAAAGCAAAACCAATGTTACACCGTGTCTACGGACGTCAACGGCGCGGCGCAACAAATCCCCGACAGAAAACTGCTGCCGGGTTCTATTTATGACGTGCTGACACAAATTTCAAATGGTTTTCAACGGTCGTTTGATCGCGTCCAGTGTAGGCAGACTTTAGCTGTTGTAGACACACGTTGTTACTCACCTATTGAGAAGAAACAAAGCAACCTCGGCGTCCGATCGCAGGCCTCCACTCCTTGAGTTCTCTCCAGCGCTGGAAAGCTGATCCGATATTTACACGGGTCCTACTTCTTGCCTTATCGTTCCGCAGACGGTTTCCTCTTTTGTTTTTTATCCGCCATCTCCATCTTTCTGTCGCTCGGCTCGGCTAAAGTCCGTCCCATGCACTGAACGCGCTCTCCTCCACATCACGAGTAGACACGCCCCTTATTGCTGATTGGCTACAAGTTTGTTTTGCGATTCGGCCCGAATCAGTTTTATAAAGTGTTTTTGAAAAATCACTTACACTACTATGCCTTTAACCGGGGCGAAATCATGACGTCATGATTTTAGTACTGAAGTT